AGTGTTTTGGACGACGCATGATCCCACTACGTTAAACAGACAAGGTGCCGACCGTGGTACTCAATATAGATCTGCGATTTTCTACACAACTGATAGTCAGAAAGATATTGCAATAGATTCTAAAGTTAATGTAGCTACTTCGCTTTGGAATGATCCTATTGTGACAGAAATTGTGGCTGCTGAAGTTTTTTATAAAGCAGAAGATTATCATCAAAATTATTTTGAGACTAATCCAGAGCAATCATATTGTGCGATTGTCATCCCACCGAAAATCAATAAGTTAAAACAAAAATTTAGTCAATTAATCAAAGAATAATATGGAAACCAAATATAATCCACTGACGCCAGAAGAAGAATATGTCATCGTAAATAAAGGTACAGAAAGACCTTTTACTGGAGAATATGATAAGTTTTTTGCACCCGGCACCTTCATTTGTAGGAGATGCAATCACGAATTATATCATGCATCATCAAAATTTGACTCTGGATGCGGATGGCCCGCGTTTGATGATGAAATACCTGGTGCTGTAAGAAGAATCACTGACAAAGATGGACGTCGTACAGAAATCTTATGTAATAATTGTGGAGGACACCTTGGTCACGTATTTGTAGGTGAAAGGTTAACTGCTAAAAATACCAGACATTGTGTTAATTCACTTTCGATCAGATTTGTTCCTAAAAATGATAATGCGTAATGAAACTTTATCATATTTGATTTCGTTATGAATATCTGATTTATATGTAAATTAATATTGTAAAAACAAAAAATGTCTTTCGAACAAACAAAACAAAAAGCAAAATCTTTTTTCACAAAAGTACTCTGGATTGCTCTTATTTCACTTGTTGTATTTTCTGGTGTTTACTACTTTTATCGCACTATGACAGTGAGCGAAGGTACGAGGACTGGTGTCTTATACAAAATATCTAAGAAAGGTAAAATATTCAAAACTTACGAAGGACAAATGCAGTTAGCAGGTTCTACTATTGTTTCTAAGGCAAGTACTTGGGACTTTTCTGTGGTAGATGAAGCTACTTACCAACTTATTCAGCAGTATGAAGGAAAGAATGTAAGACTTCATTATAATGAACTAGAAAATGCATTCTTCTGGCAAGGTGATACCGAATACATGGTGTATAAGGCTGAAGAAATAAAGTAGAAAGTCCTTGTTCTCAGTCTTTAAAAGCTTGACTCCATCCGCTTTGCATGGTGTCTAGTTCTGTGTTTATCCAATCATAGGCTTGCATATGTAATTCTTCACCAGTCTTACCTGTCATTGGCTTCCCAAAAGTCAATTTCACTTCAGTCTTCCATTTAGAATATTGATGGAAGTATTGTGGTACAAATTTTTCTAAGACCCACATATCTTTTGGAGATTTAAACTCAATAGCAATTGGTACAACTGGAATGTTGTTTTCAGCAGCTTCCAAGAATGTACCCATTCTGAAGGGTAGGGACGCTTTATCTTTGCCAACAGTTCCTTCTGGAAAAACAAGAATATTGTATCCTGCTTTGAGGGGGAGAGAGTTGGCTCATGTTCAGTTGAGGTGAGTACATTTGGATTAGTTAAAAGA